TAATTTTTATTATTCACCATTATTTAACCAGGCAAGTCCCGCTGATAATCGCAGATCTCTTTTTCAAGGGAGGCCTGGGCCTGAAGGCAGCTTATTGTACATGTCTTTGGTGATAGGAGAAACCAGAGAAAACCCACGCAAGCATGAGGAGAACATGCACAGAAAAACCCCAGGTCCGAACCGGGGATCGAACCAAAGACCTTCTTGCTGTGAGGCATCGGTACTAACCACCGTCGTGCCTCCGTGATGAAAATCAATAGCGTGAATACAGAACTTCAATCCCCAAAAAACATTCAAGGACAAGTGTAATTTTTAGCTGTTCTCACACAATTTCCAGGGCCTTGAAATAATTTTTTCAAATTCACAAACTTTCAAGGATTTCAAGGACCCTTGGGAACCCTGTCAGACAGGAGACTGATCACATCTTTAAGCTCTTATCACTCTTATCACGGAGCTGACTCCCTGTGGGAGCATTTTGCTCCCTCAGTTTATTCTCCCCATCCCTCGCCGCACACCTCCATCCTCTTCACTTTCAACTTCACCCATGTAGGTTTTTTTGGGGGCACAGTTGTGTTTTAAGAGCAATAATATTACATTTGTATTGCCATAACCACCTGGGCCCCAAATTTTATTGTACATCTTAGACATTCACTCGTAACATTTTCATGAAATTCACATATAGGGACDTAAGGTGGGCATTCATGGCTATGGGTGGCCGGATGGCACCACTCTTGCCTCCTATACCTGTGCCCACCCGACAAGGTTCGCATATAGACACTTAGGGTTTTGGGTTAGAGTAGTGGTGGAGGGGAAACTGGCACCACGCCGGCCTCTGTCTCTTCTTCTTTCCGTTTTTTTTTAATTGCTCTATAGAACAACACGCACCAACAGTACATCTGAGGGTGGGGGTGTGTGTGTCAGGGTCTTTTTTTTTCCCCATCCCGTTCCCCGACTGCCATTTGGGGAGGGGGTCCTGAAGAAGGGCGGACCGCCGGGTGCAGTCCTGGGCTGTGGGTGGGCTTGGGGCTTGGACGGTCGCCGGGGGGCGGGGCTGGCTCTCTGTCCTCCCTGATGCTGCTTGGTCTCCTGAGATGTGGCTCTTGGTTCCAGTGGGTGGCCCGGGGTGGGCGGCTGGGGGGGTGCACTTGGTCGCTGGCGGTGTGGTGGGGTTGTCATGAGTGTGGCTTCTCTGCGGCGGGGGGC